TCCGCCCTTGCCAAGGCGGGTTAGCCCAGCGTTGAGGATCACCGGCAGCCCGCTGGGCGAAAAGGGATTTGGGGGGGGGGAATGCCTCGCGCAGAGCCCCCCCCCACATGCCCTGTGAGTGCTCGAGTGGGTTAGAAGGGGCCTCAGAGGTCATCAAGACCAGCCCCTGCACCCTGCAGGATTCACTACCCCGTCCCTGCTAGAGGACGACCCAGCAGCCTCTGTTGGAAAACCTCCAGCGAAGGGGAAGGAACCCCTCTGTGCGGTAACCTATTCCTCCGATTTACCTCTTTCAGGGTAGGGAGGGAGGCAGGGTAATAATAATACTGCACACACCTTTCCTGCCACAGAATTGTGGAATGGTATGTTTCTTTTGCGTGGGATGTTAATTTTTAAATGGTTATCTTCTAGCATTTTGACTTGAGGCCAGAGCAAGTTCCTAAGTAGGTGATGTCTCCAGGGCTGCTTGGGGCAGGGACTGAAGATGAGAAGAACGCGATGATGCAGTCTGACACAGAGAGGTAAAGGGGCTTTCTTGCTTCAGAATTCTCTTGCAGCTCATCCTGTTTTCTCTCTGCTCCCTCAGCTGTGAGTTGATTTGTCTGGGGGAAGTCTCTGCAGTTGTGTCAAATTCATTGCTCACCTTTTCATGGTGGGCATTGGTCCAAACAGCTGCCAAAGTAATATCTGTAGTTCATGGGCCTCAGAATTCTTTATGGGTTCTGGGGATAGTTTTTCTGCAGACATTTGTATCTGTTCCTCTGCATGTGTGCTATTGCGCAGACAGGGTGGAAAGTCTCCAGCAGGATCCCACACTGGACCCTTGCTAGCTACTTACTTACTTCTGGACAGTTCATAGAAATAACTGTAAAATAAACAGTGATAAAAACAAAGACAGCACAAACTGGGCAACAGCCAAAGCAAACGCATGTTACCCAGAAGGGGGCTTTGATCACCCTCACCAAAGGCCTGGGCAAAGAGCGGGTCTTCAAGGCTCTTCTGAACACCAGCAGGGTGAAGGCCATCTGGATCACTGGGGGAATCTTGTTCCAGAGAGTGGCTGCTATGCCAGAGAAGGCGCACTTCTGGGGTCCTGATAGATGGCATTGTTTAATCAAAGGAAGTTGGAGTGTGCCAATCCTCTGAAATTGGCTGGACAGATACTGTAGGACAGGGGTTGGGAACCTATGGCTCGCGAGCCAGATGTGGCTCTTTTGATGGCTGCATCTGGC